AATTTAAGTATGATGAACGTTTAAGAAGAGTAATAATCTAAATTATAGATAGACTAAAAACAAAAATCCTAGTTTGCTAAGGTTCTTATTTAAAAATATATTTAAACTATGTATTATATTTTTAGAATTATTAATTAATATTTTATTTAAAATACTCGTTTCAACCAAATTCTTTTTTATGAAAATAACAGTTTATTTCACAAGTCTCGTTGGTGTTTTTATAACAGAAAGTCAATGATATAAACATTACTTTGTGTTGATATTTGAACTTATATTAACTATATTATTTCTGACCTTAACTAAATTTAGTTATTACTGTTATTATAGAATTGTGAATAAACAAGTGATTTGCCATTGATTAATAAATAAAGAAGAATGGTTTCTGATGTACAAAAAAGTGTTTATGTTAGGCAAACTATACACGTACTCTTTTCAAATTATTTTAAATCCTTAAATAAAATTCCTTTAATGAAATCTTTAGGAAAATGAGAGAATGGAGAAAAAAACAATAAATAACTGAAAATAACAACAATATTTCAAAAAAAAATAGTATTCTTGAAAAAAGAAAAATGATTAGAAATACTTGACGACTACTATCAATACCAACAAGAAATAGGGGTAAACATAAAATGGTCTGGTTATAGTGTTATCATGGAATTCGTCTATTCATTTTTTTTTCTGCTTTTTTCCTCCTTTTCAGAGATTCGAAGGCAATTTCTTTTAAAGTTTTTTGTATTACATCAAAATAGTTAAGAGATTCATTTCTTTGTTGTTCTTTTTTGATAGAAAAATTCGCTTTATCTAATAAAACTTTATGAGAATAATGACTTCTTTTCATTTGTAAATTCTTTTTCTTTTAATTCTTATATAATAATAAAAATAATACCTTTTCATTTTATTGTGATTAATGTATAAAACTTTTCAAGTACTTTTTTTGAAGATGAGATTTTGTAGTATTTCTTTTGTTAAATCTTGTTTCATTTTAAGAGATAAATCTTATAATCATCTTTCATATCTTAATTTTCTAAAGGAATAGTTTCATTATTATTAAATAACATTATTAATAATAAAAAATAGTGAATTAAGCAGTAATAATTGTTGGATATACTTCTTCCTCTTCTCCGATTGAGGCATATTTTGATTTCTTTTTTATTAAGCATAAAACACAGATAATAGTAACAATAATAAGGCATAAAAGAACAAGTAAAATAGAAGTAATAACTACAGTAAGTATTATTTTTGATGACGATGATGAGCTATCTAATTTTTGATTATGTACTTGAAGAACAAATGTACGAGCATTTGGACTTACTGAAGTAAAACCTATTCTAAATAAAAATGGATTAACAGACTCTGAAGTATTAAAACTGTACTTAAGTCCATTTGAAGAAATACATGGCATAGATTTAATTTTGTAATAAGAAGATAAGAAATCAAAAGTAATGTTAGTGTCTGAAGAAGAACACAAGTCAATAAAATATTGATGATTTGGTAGAGGATTAATTTGGTAGTTATAACCAAAAATTTCAGTTGAACCAGGAAGTGATGAAGATGGAACAGTTTCATATCTAATATAAGGACATATATTAATTTCTTTAATTGAAGTAGGAAGGAAGAATGTTTGATTAAACGTAACTTTAATAACTGTAATAGATGGACTAATGAACGAAATAAGGAATTGTGTATTATCTTGTTCGCTATCAAATTCAATATATTGACCAGTGAATGTTTTATTAAAAGAAATGGAAGAACTTTGAATTTGAGTTGTAATAGGTAATGTTGAAGTAATATTAATTCCATATTTCCAATGTTCTTTAACAGTTAAAAGCACTAAAGATCGATAAATACCATTCTCATCTTTTATTGATAGAGTAGTATCTATTGATTTTGGAAATGGATCACTTACCTCAATTGGATTGTTTACTGTACCTTGTGAAATAGGATAAAAGAAAATAGTATTATATGGAGTATTAAAAGAAACATAAACTAGTTGATGATGTCCTCCAGTAAGAACAAGAAAAGTTTCTTTATTATCAGCTTGACATACAGATGAACAATCAGCATAATATTGCATTGTGATATCTTCAGAGGCAAGGATTTGAAAAGTAAGAGTAAAATCATAGTGATTAGCAATATCAATCCATAATCCATTTCCTTGCGTTTGACCATTACAATTTATAGTTTGTAAACTAAACTGTTCAGGGGTTAGTGTTATTGAACTCTCGACACTTGATAATGGTGAAAAGTAATAAGGAGAAACACAGCTTGTCTTCTCAGATTGAGAAAGTACAATAGTTAACAATAAAAGTATCAAACAAGTCATTAAGATATATGAATTCAGATTTCTTTTTTTTTCTTCATTTGACCAAAGAAGTTCAAAGAACATCTTTTTTATGTTTTTAGCTTCTTCTAATTTCCAAATTCTTCGTAGATCTTTTTTTCTTATTTTTTTTAATAATAATGTTTTTTAAACAAATAAAAAAATTTATAAATTAATTTATTGTAAACTCCCAATATTTTAATAATTATAACTTTAATAAAGACGAAAGTCCAGATTAACTTGTTTGTATTAGAAGGATTTCTTTGAATAAATGAAATAATACCAATTAAAAAGTAGTACCAGTTAACAACAAACTATACAGATTATCTCAGATATGTATTATGATTAGAACTAAAATGAAAGATATCTCTTTAAAACAATACAAATATTATTTACATTTTATTATAGTTTCTAATTTATTTTTTTGAAAGTTCTATAATTAAGGTTTATTTAGATAAAAATTTATTATAAATTAAATTATTTCTATCTTATTATTTTTTTTAAATCAATTTTAATACATATTTGTTATTATTTTTTGTTATTTTAAATTTGGATTAAATCAAATTTTTATTTATATTAAACAAAGTTAAATACAAGAAAATATAAAGAGAATTAATCAAAAAAGAACCTACATAAGATCAGAATTAATGATTTTAACTACCATTAAAATTAATAAACTGAAAAAAGTACAATTATATTATCATTACAGGAATTAGATCGAAAATAAAATATTAACCAGTTTAGCAATTTCCTGATATAAAAATAGTAATATAACATCTTTTAAGAATGACAGAATGAAAGAAGTTATATCATTGTAAATAAAAAAATGAAATAAATATCAATGCGAACATAGAACTTGTTTGGAAAAAATTATTTTTATTATGAACTAATAATTAGTTCGTTATTTAGAAAATAAAATGATTATAATTTAATGAAGGGAAGCTATTAAAAATAAAGTTATGTGAGTTAAGCAAATGAATAAAACAATAACATCAAATCAAATAAATTTTGTAATTATTAAAGTATATAATAAAATAGAAAATAATGAATGTTTATTTAATTCAATAATCATAAAATATACTTTTAATTTTTACTTCAAAAAAAAGATAAGTATTATAATACTATTATAATACTCACTACAAATTATTTATAATACAATGAATTGAAAAATAAAAGATGATTAATAAATAATGAATACTATTAATTAAAATATGAACAATTTGTTATTAGATTAAACTAATAAATAATAAGAATTTAAGTATGAATAAAAAAAATAAAAATAAGATTATAAAATATAATGGTTAATTGTTATACTTACTACTTTCATGTGTGCTATATTTATATTTTATTGTTTCGTTCATTCCATTTCATAAAAAGTTTTTTGTTGTATTCTCTTATTCTTTCTTAACTCTCTTTCATTTACCATTTATAAAAACTTCAATACCCAAATGATATAACACTTATTGGATTAATAACTGACTTTATTGATGTACACATAAAGAAACATCTTTTATTTTACTGATTCTTGTTAGTATGTTAATTGATAATAATCTTGATCATTCATAAAAAAACAATTTCTTATTTTATTAACTGATGTTGGTTTAACAATTAATGTTAATGTTGAACATATATTGAAACATTCATCTCTAAGTGATTTAACTTCTATTAGTATTTTATTTTAATACTTATTTCTATCTTCATATATACTTGATGTTTTTACATATATTTCCTTCTTGTTTCTCTTGTAAATATATTGAACACCTACATATACCATATTATTCCTTTAAATAATCTTTCATCATCAAATATCTCATCTTTCATTATAAATATGAAATGTTTCAATACTATGAAATAAATTGAATAATGATTTAATGAAATTCAACTGAAATGAAATCGTTCCATATTTCCTGAAATCTTCTAGATCTCATCTCTACATTAATAAAATCATTATTTCATTATATCCTATTTTTCATTCACTCTTTATTGTTTCTTACTATATTTTCTATTCTTATTTTAGTTTTAATTTAAAATATTTTTAAGATTATACCTTTCTTCTTTTATTATTAAAATTCAAGACTCTTTTTCAATACAAAGAATATATAAAGTTATATTATCATTGCTATTAAATAATACAATTAAATTTTATAATGAAAAGTGATTAGTATAAAATTATTCAGTGACTAGATGAGAATGGTGTCCAACAGCAATAAAAAGCATAATAATAAACATATGAAAATGCAATGAAAATAAATTAAAAAACGAAAAATTAAGGAAAAAGTGATAAGAGACCTATGAATAAATATAACGATGATAAAAATAACATCAATAAGAATCATAGAATATTGACAATAAAAGAAATGAAGGCAGATAAATACACAAACATCAATTACTACTAGAAGAGAAAACAAACTGATGAATTAATAAGAGAAATAAATAATCGAGATAGTCAGAAACTAGAATGGATCTGTGATGTGATATAAAAATGATTTTATTATATATGTACATCTATCCCCAGAACAAATTTATAAAATTTGATGAAGTAAAAGAATTCCTTAAGAAAATAAATAGATTAGAAGACCTAATCAAGGGACGTACAGAATGAAATCCGTCATGAAATTAAAGGAATAAATTAATGAATAAATTAAAAACAAAAAACATAAAATGAAGAATTAAATTCCATTTACAAAAATAAAAATAATTAAAAAAAGATTATTGTTTTATATTAATATTGCTTTTTTTGAAAATTTTAAACCATTCCTGACAAAAACCAATACAACTGAATTATATAGTTGTTGAAATATAATGCACTAATTACTATTAAACAAAACAAAAACATTACCACAAAATTCTTCAATACTTTTCTTTTTTTAATTGTATTTTTAACTTTTTCTATTTGAAATATCTTAAAATGACTCAAAAATAATTTTAATAAAAAAAGGTTTTATGAAGAAAGAAAAATGATATAAACCCTTAAATTTTATTTAAGACATTTGATATATCAATCATCTTTATCTTTAGGATTTAAAGAAAGAGAAGCAAAACGATGAGAGATTGTATCTATATTAACTTTTTCATTTGGATCAATATGGAATCCTACATTTTTGATTTCAACTTGTTGTTTTACTGACTTTTTTGGAATATTTTCATCTTCATCACTACAAACATAAAAAATACAAGAAACAAGTATAGTAATGATTAACATTAAAACCTATTAATATCAATAAAGTGTATTAAATATTTAAAGAAATAACTGAAAGTCAAACTAGAAGACCAACAGGAATCATCCATAATGCTATATGCATTATCTACTGATATTTTGAGATGAGACTGAATCAAAACAAAAACCAAAAGAAACCAAAAGTATTATTATAAGTTGTTACAAATGGCCATGTTAAACAAATCAGGAAGATAATACTGGATTACTACTGGTGATATCACTTTACAAAGTGCTGCTAGAATAAACCCTCCAATATAATACGAGAAAAATTCTACAGCATAAATCATTCTTTGATGATTCATTTCTGGGGTAAATTCTAATGGGTCGTGATGACAATAAAAACGTATTTTATTAGCATTAGAACTATACCAATCTAATAACTTATGACATTTAATAAAAAGACTATATAATCCAAGATGTATAAAATATCCAGTACCTGATATTACAAAACCAATACAAAACGCTTTTAATAATAAGAATGGGTAATGAATTGTACACGAATATGGTGGCATGTTTTTAACTACTTTATGTCTTTCAAATACTTCCATAACATAATTCATAAAAACAAATCCAAAACCTACAACTGATCTCCAATAACATGGAGTGTATTGAGAAAAACATAATGAGTGTAAGGAAAGTAAAATAACTTGTATAAAGAAAAAGAACGGAATAAAATACCATTCTCGAGGAATATCTGGAAATACAATATAAAATCCAATTGAAACAAATCCAAATAATGCTCCAACAATTACATCTGCTGGTGAATGAACCCCCATATAAATTCTACTAAGAGCCACTATAATTACATAAATACTTATTAAAATACATACCCACCATACTGGTTTAAGATACATTATTAAAAATATCCCATTTGCTACTGCGTTCATTGTATGAGTTGATGGTAAACCAAAATCTAACTCTTTTAATGGTTGCCATACCCCTGAAGGTCTTGGACAAGCAAATAAATTTTTCATAAAATTTCCAATATATGTAGTAATAGCAATTAATAATATTAATGCATTACTTAAATAAATCGAATCTTCTGATGGGTGCAACCACCACGCAGTTGGTACAAAAGCAATATATACACCTACTCCCGCTAAATGAGTCATTACATAAAAAAATAAATCTAAAAATTTATTCTTTTTCTTTTGTAACTTCTGAACTCCAGGCATTGATTTAGTAACTGTTCGATATAGGAAATTACGTAATTTAGTAAAAGCAATTATCATTATACATTTTCTAAGTTCTTTCATTAAATAGATTTTTTTGACAAAAAAATACTTCATTTTTATTGGAAAATATAGGAATTTTGGGATGTACTATTCAGCAGCAGAAGATCCAACCATTAAGTCACACAACAGCAAATTGAACAGAATAAAGAGGAAAAAATTTGGTTCAATAAAAAATTCATTCTTAATAACAATTTTTCATAAAAAATTGTTTTTTCTTTTTTGTTTTTTAAGTTTTTAATTAATTCAAAAAATAGGTTAATAATAAAGAGTTATTTTATTATAGTTGCACAACTTTAAAATAAAATTTACAAGCAGCATAGATGCCAAGTACTAGAAATCCAATGATAAGCACTGTATAAAATATAATATTTACTTTTTTTCGACACATAGCACGTTGAAGAGAGGCATCACTAATATCTAATTTATCTTCCATACTTTGTATTTTTACTGAAGCCTGACGCAATGAGTCATTTGCTTTACGCATATTCTGAAGAATATCTATAGCAATTTCAGCTGTTTGATTAGACATAGAAATGCTATTGTCAAGTGAATCATCAATTGTCTTATTTGGTGTGGTCATTTTTGTATTGTTTCACAAAATGGTAATTTTTTTCATAAGAAAATAAAAGAAGAAATTAAATTATATATTATTTTAATAGTTTTAGTTGGTATTACTTCAATACTTAAGTTTAGAAAAGATTATCTACACTTTAAAATAAATATAATTTACAAACAACATTTGTGGTTGTTACAATATACATTAAAATTACTTAAACCTTTCTACTTTGAAGACCTCAAATTCCTAAAGAAAAGGACAAAAAGTAATGTCATTCGTTTAGAATGATATTTTATGAGATTTAAATGAGTTTTAGGATAAATGTAAATCGAGTGAATAATTTCATCTTTATTTGATTTGTTGTTTCTTAAAAGAAAAAGATGAAAAACTTATTTTTCATAATTTTGTCCATCTTAAATTTTACTTTTTAAATTAAGACTTGAAATTAATTAGTGGTTATTATTTTCTCTTATACAAATACCAAAAGAGATATTTTTAATTTATTCTTGAAAATGGATAAGATAATACAACAATTAAGAACAATACAATTAATAACATTTATTCTATAGCAATCACTCTAATTACTGAAAAACATTATTATAAAAAAAAAGAAGTTTTTTTTTATTACAAAGAAGTCAAAAATAAATGTTTTGTTTGGTTAAAAGATAAGAACAAATAGATTTAAGTTGGTGATAGAACAAAATCAGATATTGATTCTGATTCACTGTTCGACCAAACCGAGAGTGGTTCCTTTTTTTCTCGGACATAATCTTTCCCTGAAATAATTATAGCAGTCATTAGTCCATTGTTGATTAATAACCCAGCAGCACAATTTTTTAATCCACAATAATGACTAGAACTAAATACAGTTACAACACGCGCTTTTTGTCGTAAACCTATCCCCATTTCTTCAGATTGGTGAGCTCGAATAATATAACGACAACCAGAATTTTTTAAAAACTTTTCTATAGCATCAGCTCCAAAAATGTAAGTTCCTTTTCCTCGTTTATTTGGTCCAAACCCAACATCATCACCTTTTTTATTTAACATAAACACTTCGCTTGAGTCAGCAGGGTCACACCATAACAACTCACTAATTAGTGGGTCTTCACAACTACATGGCCTTTGGAATGAATCTATAATTTCAAGTGCATTTAATGTTTCTGAACATAACTCTCTAGCTATTCCCCCATGAACACAGAAGAGTTTATTATCAATAACCCCACAGAAAGGAAGGTATTGGAAAATAATGTTGAATTGATTCCATAATGAATACCCATCTTTCTTTTGAAATGTGTTGTAACACTGAGCAAGAAAAGACATTCTACCATATACTTGTGTAGATCCATTAACTCGACTTCCTTCATGATTTCCTCTTAAAAGATATACTGTGTCTGGTGCAATAATTTTTAATGCCAACAATAAACAAATTACTTCTATTTGATGTGTTCCCCTATCAACATAATCACCAAGAAACAAATACTTGCAAGTACAAATTGACGTAGCTGGAAGCAACCTAAACAATTGACACAGAGCTGAAACGTCACGATAATTTCCATGCAAATCTCCAACAACATAGCATGGTGGTTGAATACGGACAACATTATTATCTTTTTGTAATACATTTTTTGCTGCATCTAATAATCTTCTTACAATCATTGGAGTTAATAAACAGGTACCATTTTTCCATTGATGAGATTCTTCTCCATACCCATACTTATAACCATGACGAGGTCTAAAGTTATGTCTCAATGAATGAAGAACATAAGAAGCTATTTTAATGGATTCATCAAGTGTGTCTGTAATTTCTATAGGATAAATAGCATTATCTTCTTCATTAAATATGAACTTGCTATATCTTCCTTGTTGAATATTGATAAGATTTGAGTTAAATTCAAAACAGTTTTTATCAAAATAATATTTTTTTGATGTTTGCATTGTAGGAGTGTCATCAAGGTATTTAGAGAACATCAAAAATGTGTTAATACTAAGACATATATTTCTTGAGAAAAAACCAACAAACAAAGGACAACATACGAGTTTAAACATTTCTTTATTGTAATATATTTTAAAAACAGTGCATGTGACTGGTTCTTTTCTAGAAATAAGACATAATGGAAATGGATGAGCTAACTCAACAAACCAGCCTCTGATAGTAGTAACTGCATAATTAACTAGTGTACAATTTTCTCCATCAAAATTGTGTAATTGAAGACTTGTTTTTCTCTCCATTTCACAAAATTTCTTTTACTAACTTTATTTAAACATTTTTCTCTTTTCGTTTGTAATAGAGTTCCTCAACACAAACTTTTTTTTGGTTTAATACAGTTGATGTAGAAGGACAAAACTAAAAGTTGAATGAGATAAAAAGATAAAAAAGGAAAAAAAATCTTCAAAAAAATAAAAGATTTCTATCTTAAGATGACAAGGCAATATGATTCAAGATACCAATATCCACCGAGAGTCCCACAACTTTATCAACAACGACCACCTCAACAAAACCCAACTGAAACAACTGAACCTCCAATACCAATAAATGCTAACTCAAAATCTGTTCATGTATCTGGAATTCATGAGAGTGTAGATGAAATATTATTAGGAAGAATTTTTTCTATTGTTGGACATGTTGTATCTTGTAAAATAATGCGAGATAAATCTGGGACACACGCTGGTTATGGATTTGTGGAATTTGTTGATTCCACAACTGCTAGATTTGCAAAAGATAATATGGATGGAAGAGTTGTTTATGGAAGAGAATTAAAAGTTAATTGGTCATATACAGCACAACAAGAAAATCAAGGGAGTTATAAAATCTTTGTTGGAGGTCTTCAACCAGAAGTAAATGATGATCTGCTTTATAAAACATTTCAAAAATTTGGTCGAGTAACAGATGCACGAGTATTAAAATTTACACAAACAGGGAAGTCTAAAGGGTATGGTTTTGTTACTTTTATTAGAAAAGAAGATGCAGAAACTGCAATGCAAATGATGAATGGAGAAAAGTTAGAAGGAAGAAATATTAAAGTGAATTGGGTTACATCAAACATAGCAAGTAAAACAGAACAACCAAAACGTAGTTATGATGAAATTAATAATGAAACGAGTATTCAAAATTGTACTGTGTATATTGGTAATATTCCAAAAAATGTAGAATCTGATGACTTAAAACAATTATTGGCTGAATATGGGTCAATAGAAGAAGTTAGATTAAATAAAGATAAAGGATATGCATTTATTAAATTTTCAAAACATGAATCAGCAACTTCTGCTATTCTAATGTGTAATGGAAAAATAATAAATGGATCAACACTACGTTGTAGTTGGGGAAGAGAAAGTCATTGAGTTTAATTATCTTAAAATTCAAATGATTGATTGTATCAATAGTTAATTTCTCTCTTCATTTTTATTTACAAACAACAATTTTAGAGAAAAAAAAAAAAGAAATTCATGTATTTAGAAATTATTAAAAAATTATTATATTAAAAAATATAAAAAAAATGAAAATAAATTATTAGTTTAATTCATTTTGATTACAATAACTTTTTTACAATAACCTCTTTCAGAATTATTTCTATCAGTAATTGGATTAATCATTTTTTGGGGTAGAACGTAACGGTCTTTTAAAAGTTGATGAATTCTAAGTTGTCCATCTGATGTAACCCAAAATGCACAAAAACAAGTAAAAAGAAAATAGTTTTCTTTGTCTGAATAAACAGTAAAACTTCTTAGTGTATCTTTGCGTTCTAATTTAAATGGATAAGCACCTTTTCCATTTAAAACAAATAAAAACATTTCATTAGAAGTGATTTGAGTAGTTTCATTATTTATTGCATTAACAATATCAGAAGTATAAAAACCAAATTGTTCATTATTTGTAATAACAATAAATACCAAATTTGATTGGTATCTGATTTTACTATTTAATGCTCTAGTTTCAAATCCATCAATATCACTATTATAAATTATTTCCATCTTCTTATGATGTGTATATTTTTTAAGAAATTCTAGCTTTTCAAAAATAGAAACCTCCCTTGGTTCTAATGGGGTTAATGGTGGTTCAGTTTTATTTTGAGGATTCATTAATTTTGGAGAAGGTAAGTATGGTGATACTCTTGCAGAATAACATACCTTTTGTGGTTTAGGATATTTGTCAATTTGGTGATTACAAGAGTTAAATGGATAAGGTGAGATACTGTTCCTTTTATTCATTTTAGTTATTAATGAAGGTGGAGATTGTTTTTGTTTATTTGGAAGATGACAAGATTGTGTTCTATCAATTTCTTCAGATAAGTCTATTAGTTCATTAAGTTGTTCAGGTTTAAATAAATTTGTTGGCTCTATATCATACTCAACACTTGGACTATTCTGTGGTCTTACTTCTTTAGAAATTTTTGGTAATTTTTTTATTTTTCTTGAACCTGGTTTTGGAGAAAGACTTCCACTTCGTGGTAACGATGGATCAAATCTTTTACTACTCGAACTTCCCATTACAGGTACTACATTTCAAAGTTCTTGCTGACCTAATAAGATATTATTTTTTATTCTGTATTTTTCGTATGAAACAATTTAATTCCTTTTTTCATGTTATTTCTATATCATTCTTTAAACAGAAATTAAAAAAATTAAATAGTATTATCTATTTTTTAAGAAAAAATAAGATTTGAACGAATGTTTCTATTTCCTTGTTTATAAGTGTCGAAAAAATTAGAAAACCATTTTTTTATAATATACAATCAAAGAGATAAATAAATATTACCAAAGATATTTATAAATATAGAATTGTTTTCTTTTCTTGTATTGTGTACAATAATTCATTGCATGTTCATTCTGATTTCTTAATAAGATGAAAGTTTCATACTATGGTACTCATAAAATAAAGTATTTATGAAATTTTTAAAAAGAAATTTGGGGTTAGACTAGACAAATATGAAGTAATGAATGGAAAAGATTTATAATTCATAATAAAAAAAAAGAAAACAAAACCAGAAAGTAGTTATAAGTTTGTAGTTAATGAAAATAATAAAATAAAACAAAAGGTAACAACGAAACTTTAATTACAATAACTTCTTTAAAGAAAAATTTATAAATTAAATAAAAATAATTTTTTTATTGCAGAATGTATTATTTTAACAATTTGATTAGTTTTTTAAGATTCTTCATGGAATAAAAGCATAAAAACCAGTGTTAAATCAGAAGTTAAATCAAAAACGTTAAGGAAGATTTATTTTTTATTAGAAATTAAGAATAAAATATTAAAAATGAAAAGTAGAATTATTAACTCCTTCTATAATCCTAGTTATTTTTATTAAACAATTATTTAGTTGTTATTTTATTATTAAAACATATTTGAAATTCTAATTGTTAATTAGATAACTACTAAGGAATATAAACTTATTTTAAATATTGGTAATTCTTTTTTGAATTGACCAATCAATTTGAAATAATATTTTTTTTTTTTGAAAAGGACAAAAAGAAAAGAATTTATAAAAATACTTTTCTGTAATGAGTAACAGTAAATTTTTTTTATTATAATTTATAACAATAAAAAATTATAAGAAAAAAAAAGAAAAAACTTACTTTTGATTAGATAAGATAATCAAAGTTATATAGAGAAAGAAGATTATATCTTCTCAATTATTTTCCGAGCCTTCTTCTCTCTTCTCCTTTTTATCGAAAGGAATTCCTCCTTCAGCCCAACTATACATACAATTAGTACACTGATAATTAATTTGTAATGAACAGTTGTAATTCCAATGTGCAGAATAATAATACACAGCGTCGTGTTGTTGGCCACAGTGAGGGCAAAGTTTTGTTGTTTTGGGATATGTTGGGTCTTTACTCACATCTGCGGCAACTGTTGTTGCCTTTGTTTCACTAAAGTTTTTGATATATACACAGAAACTTGTTGGGTCTTCAGCTTTTTCAAAATGTCCACAATTTGGTCTTCTGCACACAAAATATAAATCGTCTCCACAACTTCTTGGAAGCATTATTTGATGACAGTCGGGACAAAAATGAGGTTTAACTGCATTAATCGCTGCCATTCAACAAATAATGAAAAATTTTAGTATATTTACTTTTTGTTTTTCTTTTTTATAAAAATATATGTTTTTTTATTTTGTTTTTAATATATTATTTTTTTTTGTTATTTATAAAATGGTGGTAAATAATCCAGAAAAAGTTTATTTGAAACTTTGAAGAAGAAAAAAGACATAGTTTGTCAAAGTTGCACTAAAAAGAAACAAAAGTAGAGAAAGATAAAATAAAGAAAAGTAAACTAACTGAGTTGATTAGATTGAAATAAACGAAAAGGTAACAAGAACGAAAAATAATCTTTTGAGAAAAAAGATATGAAAAAGTATTTTTTATTGTTTGAGGAGAACTCAAAATTCTTTGTTATTAATTTAATACAATCAATGAGTACACCAGCACCCTTACCACCAAAACCACTCCACTTAGCACCTCAACCTCGTCGACCAAACAAAGCAGCTCCTATACCGAAAAAAAAACATATTCATCAATTGCCACCAACCTCAAAAGATGTTTTTGATGATGACGTGACATTAGTTATAGACGATAGACCATCAGTCAAAAGAAAACCAACATCTGCAGCAGGTGATTTACTTTCTCCAAACTCTGGAAATTCTCCATGTAAATCAACAGCTAGTACTCCTAGGTCTGAAAATGGTTTATTTAATTCTTCTTTAGAAAAAGGTAGTGAATCTAGTTCATTAATATCTCCTCGTGGTATTTCTCAAACAGCATTAACAAATGGACGTCATTCCTCTCATGAAGATCCACCTGAACATACTTGTGTTGCACCATCCAGAGCAGCCCCACGTCCTGTAAAACATTTAGTCCAACAAACAGCAACTGCTAAATCATTTTCACCATCAATAGGTATGCCTTCAAGTATTATGGATGAACTACAATATTCTCCAAAGGACACAGGTAATTGTATGTCATTTGCACAACCACCACCATCAAAAATTAAAGTTGGTTCAACACAACAAACGTATGCTGCTCCAATACCACCAACAATTTCTAAAACACAACTAATTATGTCAAGTACAATGGCTGCTTCATCACCAAATTCTTGTGCATCTCCAAAAAGTATTGGATCCATTAGTAGCCTTTCACAAATCAATGCCAGTACTCCTCCTTCTGACTCTTCTCCATCAATTAATGTAGCTTCTCCACCACCAGTTTCACCTCGTTCAAATGTTCATATTGTAACTGCTCCGATGCCTCCTTCTTCAAAAGGAGCAGTTCTTATTGCAGCGCCACCACCACCTTCATTTACTAAGCCTACTGTTTCAATTGCAGCACCACCACCTTCTATGAATAAGCCAAGTGTTACTATTGCAGCACCACCACCTTCTATGAATAAAGTAAATATTACTCTTGCAGCACCACCACCATTAAGTAATTCAACAGCTATATCACAGTCTACCTCTTCAAATACTTCTACTTTGATTAGTGTATCACCATCAAATAAGACTGTTAATCAAGTTAAAATAGAAAATAATAATATACAAATAAATAACAAAAGTGTAACACGACCAACTCGTGATATTTCTTTAAATGATAATTGTCATCACATTACTCCAATGGAAAAGTTTAACACTCAACTACCACATAAATTTATTAAAAAACCATTTAAAATACCAACAATTAACATAATAATAAAAGATGATGAAAATGATGAAAAAGTTATTGAACTACTTGATAAATTAGGTGAAATTCATACAATAAAAGAAACACAACAACAAGAACTTGAAGAATTTGGATTAGAATCAATATCATATACTGAATTTGATACTTTAATATGTGTTAAAGGAAACTCAACAGAATTATCAAGTACGTGTTGTGTTGGTGATTCAATACTTGTTAGTTATTAAAGGTCATTGAACAAAGTTGTGTGTTTTATTTTATAAAACAATCTTTTCAATTTATTATATTCGGCTTCTTTTTAATACATTTGATTTTTATTAAATTATTATTTAAATACAATAACAAAATAAATAACAAAAAAATAAATTTATTAATTAAAACATGGAATTTACATACCTTTTGAGATGATTATTCCTTGTGGAATATGAGAAGATAATGCATTTAAAAGAGATACTTGATTATCAAAAAGTAAATACCCTTGTAATGAAATACTTGACACCCTTTTAAATGAGGCACTAAGAATAGTACCAAATTGCATAAAATGATAAATAATTTTTTCTTTTGTATAAACTATTGATGCTCTCTTAACAAAAAGAATATTTTCTTCTTCATTAGAACTGCATGACCACTCTTCTGATAATTGACTTTGTTTACAAGGATTTTCTTTCATTTGACAATTTCTTTTAGTGATATGGATTCTTTTTAACGATTTGTTCATTGGGATATAGTCATAATGAATGTTGTTCATTATAAGAAGAACACTACACATTTAAGAGTTTATTAATTTTCTTTTTGAATCACAAAAATCCACTCAATCCATTATTCTTTTGTAAATTGTTGGATATAGTAAAATTTATTATTTAATAATATTATTTGTTTGTACAGTGTGAGGATTGTGGCTATTTATATTAAAGAGTAATATTTCTTTAAAATTTGTTGATATTAGTAGTTAGGGATGGAAAGGATGATTAGTGTTTAATCAGAGCTTAAAATACTTTAAAACCTCATAACAAAATAACAAAAAATATTTATAAAAAAATGAAAATTGAGGGATAAAATGATGGCAATATTTAAAAGTGAGAATAGTCTTAATTGCAACAACGAGCCAATATGAAAAAAGATAAATGTTAATAGATATTTTATTTGATAATATCAAGTAAATAAAATGAAGTATTATTTTAAATGAGTTATAAAAGTGTAAAAATGATTCTGAAATATTTAATTCATTACTGAAAATTACATTTATGAAATTAATTAAGATAAAAAATATAAATAATCTTTATATTCTTCCAAGTTTACTTTCACTTATAAATTTATGGAATTATTATTTAACTACTAAAATATCTCAAAGAGAATTTTATATTCATTTAAATCAAGTAAATGGTATTTACTCAATAATAATAATTTATAATTTATCTTCTTTGTTTGATAAAAATTTAGAATATTCTTGATTTGATTCTTACTGAAAAATTACTATTTCATTCACTTCAATTAATTCCCATAATAATATTTTATTATTTTTTAATACTGAATTAAAAAGAAAAAACTGAAAAATATTATACCGATGATAAAGAAATGAAAGATTTAAATGAAAATGATCTTGAAAAAACTCAAAAGAAACTAAAATTAAAAAGAATTGAAGACATATTAAAAGGAAAATATAAACCAAAAGAAATTAAAAGAGTTAATAAAATGAAAGAACTTAATATAAAAGAGTATAAAGAAAAAGAAATAATAAGAAGAGGGAGTCGTGGAGTTATAGTAAGATGTTTAAATAAAAAAATAATGAAATAGAAGTAATAAAAGAAAGGAAAGTGGAGAATAAATAAATGATTTATTAAAAGAAGAAAGGATATTAAAAATTTGTACTCATCCAAATATAATTAAAAGTTATAGATTGTATATCAATTTAATAAAGGATATTTATTATTAGAGTCATATCAACCTGCCTACATATTATATTAATAACAGAAAAAAAAAGAAAATTAAATTATAAAGAAATACAAAGTATTTTCATACAGATAGTTTCTGTATGTTATTATCTTATTCTACTTTTGATATTATTCATAGAGATAGATATTAAATTAACAAATTTTCAAGTAAATAAAATGAAAATTTTATTGAAATTAAATTATGTAATTTTGGAATGGTTATTAAAACTACTAATGAAATGGATCATTTAGTTGGAACACCAACTTTTGCTGCACCAGAAATACTAGACCTTTAAAGATACTCAAATAAAAGTGATTTATTTTCTTTAGGTATTTTATTGTTATAATTACTTCTTCTTTCCTTGTTAAAAAATAATATAAATAAAGTTAGAGATTACTGTGACAACACTGAAGAATTTCAATACATTTAGTGATGGTTTTACTTACTCAGTATCGTTAAGTAAAAAATTATTAAAAATAAATGATGAAGAAAAGATAACATAGAATGAGTTAAAGAAAATGACCCACTTATAAATAAACTAAAAAAAATTAAATAATATAAATAATAATATTTTTATTATAAATTATAGTTTAAAAAAAGAAAATAAAAAGAATAATAAAATAATAAAAAATAACTAAATAATCAAAAAGGAGGGGAGAAATGATGAATATTAAAGATTTTGATATTCAATTTGAACTTGGAAGTGGTACATATTCAACAGTATATTATGGAAAAAATAATAAAACTGGTGAAGTAGTTGCGTTGAAAGAAATGAAAGAATTTCGAGAAAATTGTGGATTTGCACAAACAACAGCGAGAGAATTAAAAATATTACAACAATTAAAACATCAAAATATAGTTCGATTATATGGAGTTACCACAAGTGAAAAATATTGTAAAGGAGAAGGAAATATTTTTTTAATTTTTGAATATATGCCCCATGATTTACAAAGTTTATTATATTCAACTTCTACAACATCACTATTATCTGTTGGACAGTTAAAAGGATATATGAAACAATTACTTATTGGAATACGTTATTTACATTCAATAGGAATTGTTCATAGAGATTTAAAACCAAGTAATTTATTAATAAATAATGAAGGATATTTAAAGATAGCTGATTTTGGATTAGCAAGACCAATTACTTATAGAGAATGTAATTATAATGTTATTACTTTAAATTATAGACCTCCTGAATTATTATTAGGTTGTACATTATATGGTTCTGAAATTGATATGTGGAGTATTGGTTGTATTATTTTTGAATGTTTTATTAAACGTCCACCATTTCAAGCAACAACAGAAGCTGAAACATTATCACAAATTTATTCGATTTGTGGTTCTCCAAATCCTAACATTGCTTCTCAATATAAATTTTGGAAAAATTTAATGCCAAATCAATTTTATCCAAATAGATTAAATGATTTTCTTAATCAGTGTCAATGTAATCAAAATTTATCTATTTTACTTCAAAATTTATTAAACGTTAATCCTTTAGAAAGATTTTCAGCTGATAAAGCTTTACATTCTTCTTTCTTTACTTCTTATCCTTTCCCCTTCTTTCCTTGGCAGTTTGTGTTCTTCTTTTTCTTTTTATTTGTTATTTTTTAATTTCTTATTTGATATTTTTTTCTTTTATTAATTCTTTTTTAGAATGGTTAAATTCCAAAGTACATTAGAAACTCATATTATCTCTATGTCCCCTGCAACTCCTATTGACTCACCACCTTTAATTCAATTTGTATAAACCCTTCGTTTTTCTTTATATTATAATAATATTATTTATTTCTTATAATCTCTCCTTTTATAAAAACTAAAATAAAAACTTTGAAAAAATTGTTCCCATTCTATTTTTATTTTAAGAATTATTTTCGAAATCTGAAATTTTTTGTTCATCTATTTAAAATTGTAAATGTTCTTTTTTGATTTATTTAAATCATCGATGAATACTCTATTTTTATCTTTTTTGAACTAATTTCAAAATGACTCAAAAAATAAATGTAAATTTTCGGGAAATTTAGGATGTATTGTATATTTCTCATTTTACCACAATCAGAAGAACTGAAAAATTAATAATAAAATTATAGTAAAATAACTATACTTTTTAAAAGAAAAAAGTAGAGAAAAAAATTCCAAAAAATGAGGAAGAGTAATGAAATGAATAGGTGAAAAAAAAAATCCATAAAAAAGAAAACATTTAAAATCTTATTTAACTCAAAAAATAAAATCTTAGTGCAACCATGTTAACTATTCAAGTTGCTGAAAACTTTGTTAGGGAAAAACTAATAAGTTCAACACTAAGAAAAAAGACATTAATATTTTGTGCTGTATTATTATTTATTGCTACATTACAAGCTGATACTCATTTTTGTCTTTATCAAAACGAAGAAGAAGAATGGATTAGTTTAATGACTCGTTTAGAAACGTCAAATGACTTTGAGTTTAAAAGATTTAAAATCACAACCTTCTCAAGGTCTGATGAGATTCAATCTTCTGAACAACAACAAATAGTCAAAATTCTAGGAGAAAAAATTAGTGACAACTCATCTATTATTTGTCTTCACAACTGTGAAGCTTTTGCTGTATGGTTTATGGCATTATTCATAATTATTTTTTAATAATAAATCATTTGTTTACAACTTTTATTTATTTGTCTTCTTTTTTATTTACTCTGTTCTAATCAAAAATATCTTAATCATCCTTTTTTATGACTATCTTTATTCTCGTGTACTTAGTAATGACGTTTTCATTTCTCTTTTAGTTAAAAAAAATAAACTTTGTCTGTAGTAACTCCTTTCTTTTCAGACATTTTCAGACACTTAAACAGACATTCTGTTGTGTTTATTTAAGTCCTTTCAACAAGTTTATGGAATAACAAAAAGAAAAATTCAAATAACAAAAAAAAGAATTTTCTAAGGAGGTTAAAAACATAAATTTGAAATATCTTTAAAGGTAGCAAGAACGATTTATTGGGCTTTTTTAATAGTCAATATAGCATTTTACCTAAAGAACGATATTCAACCACCAGGTATGGTCTTTCCAGATTTTAAAGAATTAGCTTCACTATTTAGTCATATAAAACCATATTTATGTAGAATGTTAGGAACAATTTTGGAATATAAATTCTCACTTTAACCGTTTTTTATAATCTCTAAAACATTATACGAATTATTTGAGAATAGATATACATTACGAATAAATGAAGTTTGTTGGATTTGTCTAATAAAAAAGATAAAAAGATGAGATTAGATTAGAGAATATTTTCTAACCATTTTACTGATAATTATATAATTGTCTTTCTTATCGAAAGAAAAGTATTGAACAAAAACCTACTGGAGATTACATTAACTTACAATAATCAAAGTATTTATCTAAATTAAATTTTATTGGAAATGAGTTAGTATAACTTATCAGAATGAAGAAAGGTGATATTATAGTTATTTTTTTCTAAAATAGGTGGGATGACTTCTTACAAAATATACTTATACAGATATGGAATAACTATTTTACCATTACACGCTGTTTTAACAATAGAATAATTATTAATATTATTAGTATTAAATAATATAAGTACATTTGTGTTTAGGAGAATTAATATCAAAAATAAAAGAGAAAAGAAGGACATAATTTTGTTTGCAATTGTTTTAATTCTATGAAGATTCTTCTATACAATTTTATTTGAATGAAATCATTGAATATGGAGAATCCTCATCTAATTAATCCAACATTACCTAATGTTAATAATATTTAATATTTTTTACTTCAGATGCATAAGGAATACCTAAAGGCACTACTTATGCGTATTATATAATTACTAATGCAATTTATTGTTTTTGTTTCTTAGCTCTTTTTATTCAGAATATATGACAATAGAACAAATTTTATTTCTTACTTACCATTAGTACATGTTTATGAATAATAGATAGATAATAGTTTCATGTTTACTGGTGGATATCTATAATAATGTATTTTGATGATGAAGTAAAGAAAACATCCTTATTTTTTCTAATAGTAGTACCAAGAGTCTTACAAAAATTATATAATATTTTTAAATCTCAAATAAAACAAAAGTATATATTATTTAATGGTTTATTTATTATATATTAAATGAAAGATTGAGTTATTAGGACAATACAAAAATATGTTTGATGGAGATAGTTACATTTTAAATACTATTAAATCTTTTCTTGAAAGAAGAATTCAGTTAATTTATAATAGAAGTACATCAATCATCTGAAGTATATGAATAGACATGAATGTGTTTTGATTGTATTATATGTGATGGGTACAGTTCAACTGAAACATTTGGTTGATATATTGAAGCAACTCCTAGTCTTCAAGGTCTAACAATTATGCCAATGGGACTTCCATGTCCAGGAGCATCTTTTAAACTCTCTGATGTTCCAGAATTATTGTATATATTTAATAATCCTCAATAGGAGAAATTAAGATAAAAGGTGATATTTATTTAAAGGATAATTTAAAGATGAAAAAGTACTTCAGAAACATTTATTAATAATGGTTAGTTTAAAACTGGAGGTATTGGATGAATTAACGAAGATGGAATATTAAGTACTATTGATAGAAAAAAAATGTTAAAAAAAACACAAGGAGAATATATTAATGCATAACCTTTAGAATGAATATATACATCTTGCCCAATTATTCAACAATTCTTTGTTTATAAAAAAAGTACTGATTCATATATTGCTTGGACTTTGGTTCCGGAAGTGGAGCTATTTGTTGAAGTTCTTTAAAGTAAAGTAATATAAGGAATGAAAAAAGGATGAAAAAAGAAGGAATAACCGAATTAATAAATAAAAAGAATCAAAAAATATTATCATTAATTATCTTGATATATTTATTAGAGCTCAAAGAGGAAAACCTTATGGATTTTTAAAAATATTTACATTGAATTAACTCCATTTACAGAAGAAAATGGATTAATGACTCTGTCATTTAAAATGCGTAGAATCGAGGTCAAAAAGCAAATAAAGAAATTCTTCTTCAGTTATGAAAATTTTAACTAATTTTTTTGTGTTCTTTTAAAGTTTAATTTTTTCGAATATTACAGAAATACTATGAAAATCATCTAAACACAATTTTACAAGAATAAATATTAAATGATATAATCAATGATATGACAATCATAACTCTTTCATGAATAATTATTGTATTGTTCATCTCCTGGAATACATTCTTAATTAAACTAATTTATAGTGAAAAGAAGTAATTTGTTATGATTACAACTATATAATTCAAGTAGAGTGTTTAATCAACACTGTTATGAAAATAAACAAGGCAAGTGAAGAAGATATCAAAATATAAGACGATAAGGAAGAGATGATGAATGAAAATAAAGAGGAATGAATTGGTACAATCAAAACCAAAAATCATTAAAATAAAATAATAATGATAATAATAATGGAAGAAAGAACACAAATAATGAGAATAGTTGTGCAATAAGAAAAAATGAAATGAAAAATAAACTGAAAGAAATAAAGAAATAAGAAAAATAAAAAGAGAATAGATATGTGTAAGACAAACAAGAAAGAAATAGAGGTATAAACAATAACAGAATACTTAAGGGAAATATAAGAAAGTTAAGTGATGAAAATGAAATATAGCCAAGTCTAATAAAACTTAATTCATTTTTATTTAATGTTTATTTTCTTTAATTGATTATTTAATTCAACGATTAACGCCAAATTCCTGTTATTAGAAGGAAACTAATTGAAGAAATTAGTCTATTCATCAACTAACACCAGAAAAAACATGTCAAACAGAACTATAACATATTGAATACACTGAGTGGAATGTTTAATAGACTATTTTTATGATTATTTTGTATTGGATATAAGAACAAGTATTTTGAGCAGAAAATAGAAAGTTCGATGACTGTTAAAAAGTAAAGATAATTTTTCGAAAAAAAAGTTGCGTTTGAATTGATAAGAAAAATTAGTAGTCCAAATGGACTAATTGAAATGAAAATCATTGAATAAGATGTAACTAAAAGCTAAAAAATAATTTATTGATTTTGGTCTGATGCAGTTTTTTTATTAAATATGAAGAATATTCTTAATATAAAATAAGGCTTTTTTTTAAAAAAACTATTCTTGAGTCATGGAGAAAAAAAAGAAAGAATAAAAGAATCACATCAAAAGCATTAACATTATAAACAACTTGTTATTAGAAGATTGTTAAAACAAATCAATTAAAAATAATGCGAAGTTATGAAAAGTAGGAAAGAATTTAAATTAAATTTTTACTTGAAGAGGTTTTAGTACTTCCATAGAACAAAAACAAACAAACTTATTTTACTTTAGAATACATAGAAGATTAAAAGAATGAATAAATGAAGATAAATATAGAATATTTGAATTTCATAATAATTCTTTTTTTTTTAACATATAATCTAACTATTTATTAAATGAAATTAATAAAAATAAAATGATTAAAAGAGAACTTTGTCTTGAAGATAGAATAATGTCTAAGAAAGAAAAACATACACTAGACTCTAGAAAGAATAAAAACAAACGTTCTGTTCAATTATGTTTTCTTATGGGAATACTAAATAAATTTTGTTCTTTAACATTTCAAAGACCAAGAAAGAAATCAAGTCAAACCCAACAAATATTTAGAGTTAAGACACTTCATTTTAATCAAGAAAATTTTGATGTTGAACCATTTCTAATAGAACGATGTCAGTGGTATTTAAATCAAACCAATATTAAAAAGTCAACAGAAAAAAATATTAAACATCGTTTAGAAGAAGAAAAAATGGTTGTTTTATTTGAGTTATTAATCGACATTGCAACTGATTTTGGATTTATTTTCATTACAAGTAAAATGAAAAATAAATTTAATAGAAATAAAATTGATTTTATTGAAGAAGTTTATTATAAAACAGTTCTTCTATTTAATAAAAAAAATATAGCTATTATAGGTGAGCAAGTCAGTACATTTTTATCCCAATTAACAAGTGTTCAAAAAAAAGAATGTATCCTAAAACAAAATAATTCTGTTATTCATTCAATATTATCTAAAAATTCAATTAATTTTATTGATGTTCCTTAATTGTTTCTATCAATTTTTTATTCTTTAAATAAGTATGTAATTAACTATTTTTCATTTTTATTTTTAAATTATACTTATGGTTTTTTAGTTTTGGGATTTGAAGGTAGCACGTCAGAGACACCACACAGAACCCTAAAATATTTCCATCCTTCGATTCCCCCAGTTATGGACTGGTTATGGCGTTGCGTTTGGTTAGAAAAACATCTTACCCGGTACTGCAAGAATAGCAGTGTTTATTATGTACAATGACAGAATATCATTGACAATAAACGAATGGGTATTTATAAAGATGTTATTATTACTTGTTAGAATACAAGTATTATTTGATAATATAAGAAAGATTATCAAAAGAAAAGGGTCAAGTGGATGAGGCTAAAAGAATATTAGCCCAAAGCAATACAGTAGTAATTATATGCTCTCCTTAAAATAAGAAAATAAAGAAGAAGAAATTTAAACCCATAGAAATTAAAAAGAAATTTAATAATGAATATCTAAGTAAGGGATGTTTAAAATACTCTATTCCACACTAAAAATGAGAAAAGAAAATTCTCACCGTTCAACAACTAAAAGCAAAGAATAAGCTAATAGTTGAAGAACAAACACTTTTAGGCGAAGGGACGGGATTAGTCTCCCCTGAGCAAGGAACAATAGACACAAGTTCTATTAATACTTAATTAACTACTTTTTATTTACTTATGGTTTTTTAGTTTTTAAAAATATTATATGATAAATAATATTTATTTTTATTAAATTTAGTTATAAAAAATTTCTAAAAAATGAGTTATTTATAAAACAAATAATTATTTTTTGTCTTTCCTTTCTGAGCAAATATAAATCATTTAGTTTTTACAAATTATCATTCATATAATAATATTATGTGGTTATCATTAGACCACGAACCTCAGCAATTAATATACTTATGGCATTGCAACATACTAATACAAAATAAAGAATAAAATAATGATAAAAAATAAAAAAAGTAATTTAATTTTAATAGAGCTATCTTCTATTGTTCCTTATTCTGCAGAGACTAACCCATCATCATTGTTATCTAACATCTCTACTGAGTATTTAGTTATATTCTTTTCCAATAATACCCATATATAATGTCAGTACCTGGTGCTTTCCAATACTTATTTTCATCAGGCTTAAATTTAAATCATCCATTGTGATGATGACATTATTATAATTCCTGTATCTTTCATTCCACAATGTGATTTGTTTTATTTTCAAATGTTCTTTATTTAATATCACCTGTGTTTCATATAACGATTTCCAATATTCTAAAGTAATATCGTTAATTGGGTATATTTCATTTTGTGTTTCTTCTTTATTTTAATTTTGTTATTAGAATCAAACATGATTTTATTTGTACTGATTCTGACCCTTTCATTCTTATTAAATTTAATTCTTTCTTTAATCATCCTCATCATATATTTTATGTACTTTATTCTTTCTTGTGCTTTGATTTTAATTTCATCTGCATCTTGTTCATTTAATCTCATGATGCATTTTATTCTGTACCATTTCCATTGTTTAGATCTTCTAATCTATTTATTTTCCTTAGGATTTCTTTTATTTCATCAATTTTATCTCCTATAAATTTATTTTAGAGATAATAATACATACACATTGAAATCATTTTCATATCTTCTTGTAGATTTTCTATTCTCCTGACCATACCCATTTATTATTAATTTCTCTTATTAATTTATCTGATTCTTTCCTTTTCCAGTAGTAATTAATATTTACACATTTATCTATTTTCATTTCTTTAACTTGAATGATGATAGAGTTAAGATATTCATCATCAATATCAGTAGAGTTATTTTTTATGATAATGTTTTTTATTATTGGGTTACACTCTACTTTCCCTTCTATGATGGAGTTCACTTTCATTTTAATATATCTTT